AAAATGGCTGCGATACGGAAACATTACCCCGCAAGATGAGGCACGATATTGTAATCTCTAAGATAGAAATATGTTTGGAGCTGAGAAACGTATGTGCCAACATTGAAAGCAACGTGGGAATACGGTGGACTATTTAGCAACGCAGTGCGAAAAAATGTTACACTACGACTATACTAAAAGACACAACGATGGTAGAGGTTGGCATCACTGGTTAGGACAGGTTGACAGCAGTGGAGACCGAGAAGAAGCGAAAATATGACCTACTTGGTAATAAGCTTGGGTCAGAGATGAATGCAGGACCAAAATAATTCCGTATGTGATGACTTGGGATGGGATTGTAACGAAATTCCACAAACACCATGCGAAGGAGATCAGTCTATCTGATCACGTCGAGGCATACATCCAATCGATAAGAAGACACTTGAAAGCATCTCCTTCGACAGTCGATATGGATTTCATGAAGACGCAGCGAAAATGATGAGCATAACGATTTTGAGCGCAGGACAAGTGCAGTCGGAGCGCCGGAATGTGATTCAGCGCCAGAATCAGTAAAGTAAAAACGAAAGCCAACCTCCATATATGTATGAAAACAATAATTAATAGCTGGATTAACTCTATTTACTATAATAAATGATTATTTATCTATGTGCTAGACTATTTCATAATTAAGAGTTCAGAACTAATATTTAAAATTGTTACTAACTAATAAATTGGTAATTGAAAATAAATCCAAAATAATAGACTCAGAAATGCTAAGTAATCAAAACGATAAGCAACTCTGAATAATGGTGAAACAAATGAGGTGACTGGTTAAATTACTTTATTACTATTATTTGATCTCAACTTTCAACCTCAGGGATTTATTGAACCGGAAAAATTTTCAAGAGTTTCAATTGTTTGCTGAGAAAACAGTCGAGAACTTGAAAAGTTACTCAATTTTTCTCAGTCTTATACGTTTATCCTCTTTCTTTTTTTATCTAAAAAACCCTCAAAGTCATTTTTCACGTACTTTCTTTATAATGAATAGAGCAAATGATAAATGCAAGCAAAACAACTTTCAATTGTGATCAAATTAGTTTCACTAAAAACAATACAGTTCGGCGAAAATTTAACATATTTAAAGTCACATTATTAATGCAATAAACTGAGTGAAGATTGATACCTCAAAGCAAAGCAAAAAAATTAAAGTATTTAATAGGCTCATTTGGTTGTAGGCATATTTATTTGATTCATTACATATAAGTTTTCTAGACAATAATAATTATGAATTACTGACCACAAAATAACAGTAATTGCTACTTAAGAAACTTAAACATTTAAAAGTAAGTGGAAGCGCATTATTTCGGACGTTTTACAAAGGATCGACGATTTCTATAAAGATTAAGGAAAAAATTTGAGCTGAATCGGATGCAAATTTCAAACAACTAAACCATTTGAAGAATATTCAACCAATAATGAGATCATGCTAATAATTTATTTAGTTTCTGCTTGCAACAAAATTTTTTATTTTGATGATTCAACAAACTTATAATCACAAAAAAGTTGGATAACTTTAAATTAGTTTTTCTTCATATGAAACAAAATAATCATTTTCTAAATAAAGTTAAATTGAAATTTTCTTCTTTAACTCACGAAATGCTTCAATGATGCTGCATTGAAGTTTTCACGAAAGATCATGAGCAAAATATTGTTTTTGTGAAGACGTGTTAAAAATTTAGGCGTGAAAATTTTTTAAAGACTAAGAATTTTATAAAAATATTGATATGATGTGCGAAACATTGCTACTTTAAATTAGTTCTTCCGGAATTAAGAAAAGACTTGGTTCTGTGCAGCAGTAATTGAACCTTAAAATATTTTCCTGTGTGGTATTTGTAGTATTTAAATTAAATGCCGTAAAAATATTTATTAAAAAACTAATATCTATTGCAAACTTAGACAAAAAGTTTGAAACAGAAAATTGTTTTCTTAGTAAATGGTAAATGGAAAATTTGCTTCTCCTAACATACATGAAGCTATAAAATCGAACTGTAACATAAACCAGACTGTAACACTACATAAAACCAAAGAAAAAATAGGTCAGAAGATGGCCATTTAAAAATTTCTGAAATGCAAAATAATTTATAGAATAATCTGCAGAGCTTAATGAGAATAAATGAAAAGTTATGCAAGCAGAAGCAAATAATTGAAGGATTAAATTTCAATACTGTTTGAAAAATAATTCATATAGTTTTACTAAAAATCGAATTGAAATGTTTTGATTGCTATTGCTATGATAATTCTTGAAGATGCTCCTTAGACTAATTACATTTTATAAAGTGGAAGTGGACAAATATATGAATTAGAATAAAGCGGTAAAACAAACAGTCGCTGCAATAAATAACACTGCGATTATTTCAATACTTTTATACAGATGCAAATTAACTTACACGAAAGAGATGGCAATTTTTAATTGATCACAGTATTTATCGACTTGCTTTATTCAAAGTGAATCAATGTGAGGCCGGCAAATAATTTTAAATACTTTTACAGAAAGTTCAGTCCTTTTTAAAAGTTATAGAAAGAATGGATCAGTCGATCGTTTGATTTGCATCGCTTCACTTTCAGTCATATCTAAAACACTCACCAAATTGTGCTGAAATAGTCTGCTAGTCTCATTCTGAGTGTCTGATTAAAAAATTGCAAACTTGGAAGATTTTGTCACAAATAAATTAAAAGTATAAACAATCACATGTCAATGAGTTTCATTTTTTTGAATAAACTCATCTTAAAAACCAAAAAGTGGCGGATAATCAAGGATGAATAAATTTTTACAAATATTATTATTTTAACCTTTCCAGCACAATTTTTGTGTTGTATTCGAAAATGACAAAAAAAAATGAAAGCAATATTTATAAAAAATGAAGAAGGTTGAAAATTTTCAGAAAAAAATTAACAGAATTCGTGTTTTCAAAAGTTCATCTTAAATGATAGTGTATAAAGTTTTGCAACTTTGAAAACAATTATGACAAAGTTGAAGTTGACAATGTTATTTTGAATTCTGACAATAATGATGTTAATAGGTGCAATGCAAATAGCAATTACATTATGGATTACGTTGAATAGAGCAGAAAAAATCGTAAGCAAAATTCATAAATTGCAGATTAATTCGTTTTAAATAAAATTCTATTAATGCAATAAGTCGAAGTTTTGAAATCCTGAAAGAATTTTTCATAATAGTGAGTAAGTATTTGAAATTATAGGCTGAATTCTAATAGCCATATGCAATTATGTCATGAAAATTTGTTGTCAAATTCTAACAAAATAAGCAAATCGATGACTAGTTATAAATTGCGATCTCTCAGCAAGAGAGATCGCAATTAATATCTGGTTGCAAAGAACTCAGATTTATAACAAAACGAATTTGTGTAATTTCTGCTTTCTTTCAAAACGATTTCATGTAGTTTTTTTCATTCACTACAAAAAAGTAGTTGTAGAAAAACTGACTGCTTTAAGTTAAATGTCAAAAAAATATGTGACGAAGAGAGATAAAAAAGCATGGGGATGAACTGAGATGAAAGTCATCGAAAACAAATAACATCACAATTGCAAACATTACGCAGTTTGGCAAATTAAATTGTGTTGTAAGAGAAATGCAAAAAATCGGTAAATAGCAGTAAAAGAAGACGAAATCACTACTGCAGCTATGGAATGTATACATATTTACAACTCCCATCTCCCATAATAACAATTTATTTGTCACTACTAAAGAAATAATCATAATAATAATAGTAATTGTTATTATTTATCACCACCATTATTGTTATAATTATTCTTACTATTAATCTTCATTTTTGTTACTATTATTGTTGTAATTATTATTAACATTTTGATTGCTCTCATTGGCTGTCATAACCATCAAAAACTTATCAAAAAGGAATTGAGGTAATTTTACATAGAATTATTGAAAACAGCCACTGAAATGATAGAGCTAAGAAGTGAGGTATAGCTAACTTTTTGCTCAGGCATTTCGTCAATAGCAATTAAATTGCCTAAATTCAGTATTGAATATATTCTGAATAATTTTTGAAGATTTCAACTTGGAGAGATTTGTATTTGTTGCTTTCGTATGTCAAACATAATCGGTCATTTCAAATACAATTGAAAAATTTCAGGTCACTTACCAAAACCCTATCAAAACAATATTATTATTACTGTTTTAAATTTGATAATATGACAAATTTTCATGAAACTACGAAATTGTTTCGTATGTGCTATAAAATTGTTTTTTGTTTTTATTTACCTATAATTTGGGGCTTAAAGCAAAAACTTACTGCAGTCAAAGTTCATATCAACTCACATGGTTTGAACATGAGAATAATTGAAACATACAACTAACTAAGAACTTTAACGAGAATGATGGTAAATATTAATATGCTTTATGATGACTATACATTAAGAATTCTTATTAGCAGCATTGAAAATAACAAGTATTCATAAAGGTTTCCTACAGCTAAAAATTTTCTTCCATAACAGTATAGTTTTATATTCTCAGCAGGTAATCAAAATACTAATTATTTAAAGGAAAGCTGTACTAGCTGTAAGTTAAGCTATACTCGTTGTAACTTCTAATCTTGATTTGGGAGTATCACTATTTTTTAACCAACTTTATTCAAGTAACTAAATTAAAACATCTTCTATATCCATCTAATATAACGAATGCAATCAGTAAAAATTAGTTGCACTGAAATAAATATATTTGAATTCCTCGTTATAAGTTATTTGTGCAATTTCATCGAATGGAAAAATACCTGTTGTCAACAGTAATATGATGATAGAACAATATTTTAAATAAAGATGTAGCAAGTTTGAAATTATGCCACAACAAATCTAGAATTATCTCTTTTTTTTTTTAATTTGTAAAAAAATAGCACTTTTGTTGCTATTTATAATATTGGTTTCAAAAAATACGAACCAAATCTTTTATGAACTAATTAAGAAATTTATTCTCAGCAAAGAAACCAATTTTTGGTACTTGCTTCAAAACCATGATGAAGTTGCATATATCATCTTTTTCTTTTCTTTCCTTCATAAATTTTAAATGAAAATTAACATCTTTGTTCATATGTACATCATTGCTGCTATAACAATTATGCTTTCAGGCTTGAAATGTAGCGATTATCGGCTTATGCATATAAACTGCAGATAAAAGTTATTTCAAATGTTGAAGACCATTCCGAAGACGTCAATATTTCAGTTCTTTCTTGAAAATTCTCACAGTCCAAGCAAATTTTATAAAATTTAGAAACAAATATGATTAAGAGGCTTAATTTGTTTGAAAAAAAGTTTGTAGCTTAAAAAAAAATAAATGGAACAATTTTTTCTATCCGAAAATTAACAGTTATTCTTATGAAACCAAGTCATTTACGGAGATAAAAGCTCTCTGCAGTAAGCTGCTGGCGATTTTGCTTCCAATAAAATTGAAACCATTCAAAAATGGTTCACAAATCCATAGACAGACGGTTATTTTCATTTTTTATTTCATTTTGTAGCAATTAATTTTATTTTGCTAGCTTTTGAATTAAGACAAAAGTTGAGAGAAAAAAAACGTCAAAATAACTTCGTCAGGAATTGAAATAGTATTAAATTGAGGCTACAAAAAAGTCTATAGAATAATTTCTCAGATGCTGTTTTCAGTCAATATAATTTTGTTTCTTGTGCATAGAGAATTTATTAATGGCTAAAATATTAAATGCTTATCACGCATGCACATTTATGCAGAAATGTATTGAAAATAGATAACAGAAATAAAAAGCAATGAAATTTTCGTTACTATATATAGCATGTGTCAAACTCATTGTGGCTACGATTTGGAAATTATTACGCCACAAGATATGGCACGATACTGTTATCTCCAAGATAGAAATATGTTTGGAGCTGAGAAAGGTATGTGCCAACATTGTAGGAAACGTGTAAGGACGGTGGATAAACTAGCA